GGGTGTAAGGACACTTCGCGTAGGACACGTTCCTGATGTCGCGCCGCGCCGAGGGTCTTTATAAGCAAAGTCGACTGTATATACCGTACTGGCAATATGTTACCGCAGTGAGGCCATGAAGCGTTACATTGGCAAATGTTTGCCGCACGCAGGGCGTTACATGCAAAGTCGCACAGGAGCCGTTACACAGGTTTCTATATTGCCGCGGTCTTTTTTTTTTGCCACACGGTACACGTGCTTTCACAGTTTTCAGCCTTTGCAGTGCAAACTGCAATGAAAAGATCGCCGCACCCCGCCTGACGCGCGTTAAGCCTAGTTCACATTCGACGCAACGCCGACGGTACGGGATGTAAGGGCTTGTCGGGAGGGCTGGGGTGAGCTGTAAAATCCTGTACGATTCGTACGACACGACATGCAGCAGTCGTTGCGACGTTCACCGTCGAACGGCGCGAGTCATAAGGCACGGTCCGTGACGGGGTGACTTTTGGACCTAATTTCTCGTTTTTCGAGACTTCTTTTCAATTATTTCTCCTTGAAAGAAGCGGAATCAAGTTCACAATACCAGTTTTTCGTGGTGAAGACCAAAAAATTAGCCCTGAAAGTTGTGGCATTCAAATAATAGCCCCAGGAAATGATAGAATAGTTCGTCTGTCACGCTTCTGAACTATCCCTAAATACAATAAGTGACATGAGATCTTATGTTGCTAAAATTCAACTCCAGTCGTGCTAGCCATTCTGTGAGTAATCATGGGAAGTGCAGTGTTCGAAATGCTAAAAATATCCAAGTACGAATCGGGAGCAGTCGGCGCACGACGGCGTCTCCTGTTCACACTCGAATTGCAGCCGTTTTGTACGCTTGCGTCCCCGTCTACGCCCGTCTACGGTATAAAAAGTTGGATCGATCCAACTCTTCCCGTCGCTTCCCGATCTGTACGGTAGTACGGTTGCGTTCCCGTTCCTGGTGTTCACATTGGACGCCGTCAGACCGTCCCGTCGCTTCCCGTCGATCCTTACGTCGCGTCCCGTCGCGCCCCGTCGAATGTGAACTAGGCTTAACGAACGCGCCGAAAATTTGTCGCACTAGCCTGGTCGCGCGTAACGCCGCACCCCCCTGCGTTACGCGTTACGCGGCAACATAATATATTGCCAGTACGGTAATAGCTCTTTTTTTTGACTGCATACCGTTGTCCGGTCTTGTTCTAAGTTCAGTTTTCACCATGCTCTCTCGTTACTGCATACAGGTATTTCGCCTGTTTGGGAGAGAAGGTTCCTATAACTATTACTCCTTCCCAACTTCTTACAGGTCCCCGTCATCTTCAAACGTAAACGTCCTATTATTATTGTGTTTTCTTGACTGCATACAAGTGTTTTGTTTCTGTGCAGGCAGAGGTTTCCTTTTTTCATATTTGGCTACATACAAGTTTCATGGCTTGCTCCCAGGTGAGTTCCCCTCATTGATCTTTCATGGATGTCTACAGGTGCCTTGTCTTGTTCGCATGTAAGTATCCTATATTGCTCTTTCTTGACCTCATACAGGTTTTTGTCTTGTTCGCTGGTGAATGTTTCCTATTATAACTCTTTCGAGACTGCATACAGATTACACGTCCCATTTGCAGCTAAGACAACTTGAGTAGTTCCTATATGGCTTATGCATGACTGCATATAGTTTTCCCGTCTCCGTACCAGTTAGTTTTCCTATATGCTCTTTCTTTTCAACTGAATACAGGTATTTCGTCTGTTTCGCAGAGAAGGATCCTATATGTCTCCTTCCTGACTGCACTAGGCCTTTGCGGATAATGCCGGCAGAAAAATTGGCAGAATTCGGTACTTTTTCTGGTGAGTTTCATGCATGTTTGGTATGTGGATAAAGAAATGGAAAAGAATTCCAGGAATTGCCCGCCATAAGGTTTGTATGGTTCTGCCAATTTCACTGTTTTTCGAGCAGAATCTGCCACCTTTTCGAGCATTATCCGCCATTGCATAGACTGCACGCAGGGTCTCGTCATGTTCAAAAGTAAGCATCTTATAATAATTATGGTATAGTCTTGACTGCATTCAAGTTTCGTTTCTAGTGGGCGCTTAGAAGTACACCATTTCTTATTTCATGGCTCCAAACAGGTTTCTTGTCTTGTTACAGGTGAGTTACCTTCATTGACCGTTCAAGATTGTGTCCTTGTGTCTTGCCTTGTTCGCATATAAATTTTTTATTTCTCTTTCTTGAATTCATACAGGTAATTTTGTTTTGTTTCCAGTTCGCAGTTTCCGCTCTGAGCGCCGGCTCTGAGCGCGGGCTCTGAGCGCGGGCTCTGAGCGCCGGTTCGCCTGGCCACTCGCCTGGCCGCTCGCCTGGCCGCTCGCCTGGCCGCTCGCCTGGCTGCTCGCCTGGCCGCTCGCCTGGCCGCTCGCCTGTCCGCTCGCTTGGCCGCTCGCCTGGCCGTTTGCCTGGCTGCTTGCCTGGCCGCTCGCCTGGTCGCTCGCTTGGCCGCTCGCCATTCCGCTCGGCTGGCCGTTAGGCTTTGAGCACTGGATTTGAGCGAAATCTGTGAGCGCCGGCTCTGAGCGCCGGCTCTCAACGCCGGCTCGCCTGGCCGCTCGCCTGGCCGCTCGCCTGGCCGCTCGGCTGACCGCTCGGCTTTGAGCGCCGGTTCTAAACACCGGCTCTGAGTGCAGCTCTGAGCGCCGGTTCTGAGCGCCGGGTCGGCTATGAGCACCGGCTAACCTGGCTGCTCGCCTGGCCGCTCGCCTGGCCGCTCGCCTGGCCGCTCGCCTGGCCGCTCGCCTGGCCGCTCGCCTGGCCGCTCGCCTGGCCGCTCGCCTGGCCGCTCGCCTGGCCGCTCGCCTGGCCGCTCGCCTGGCCGCTCGGCTTTGAGCGCCGGCTTTGAGCCCCGGCTCTGAGCGCCGGCTCGCCTGGCCGCTCGCCTGGCCGCTCGCCTGGCCACTCGCCTGGCCGCTCGCCTGGCCGCTTGGCTTTGAGCGCCGGGTCTGAAGGCCGGCTGTGAGCGCCGGCTCTGAGCGCCGGCTCTGAGCGCCGGCTCTGTGCGCCTGCTCTGAGCGCCTGCTCGCCTGGCCGCTCGCATTGCCGCTCGCCTGGCCGCTCGCCTGGCCGCTCGCCTGGCTGCTCGCCTCGCCGCTCGCCTTGCCACTCGGCTTGCCGTTAGGCTTTGAGCGCCGGCTTTGAGCACCGGATTTGAGCGCAGGCTCTGTGCGCCGGCCCTGAGCGCCGGCTCTGAGCGCCGGCTTTGAGCGCGGGCTTTGAGCGCCGGCTCTGAGCGCCGGCTCTGAGTGCCGGCTCGCCTGGCCGCTCGCCTGGCCGCTCGCCTGGTCGCTCGCCTGGCCGCTCGCCTGGCCGCTCGCCTGGCCGCTCGCCTGGCCGCTCGGCTGACCGCTCGGCTTCGAGCGCCGGCTCTGAGCACCGACTCTGAGTGCGGCTCTAAGCGCCGGCTCTGAGCGCAGGGTCTGAGCGCCGGCTATGAGAACCGGCTCGCCTGGCCGCTCGCCGGGCCGCTCGCCTGGCCGCTCGCCTGGCCGCTCGCCTGGCCGCTCGCCTGGACACTCGCCCGGCCGCTCGCCTGGCCGCTCGCCTGGCCTCTCGCCTGGCTGCTCGCCTGGCCGCTCGCCTGGCTGTTCGCCTGGCCGCTCGTCTGGCCGCTCGCCTGGCCGCTCGTCTTTGTGCGCCGGCTTTGAGCGCCGGCTCTGAGCGCCGGCTCGCCTTGCCGCGCGAATGGCCGCTCGCCTGGCCGCTCGCCTGGCCGCTCGCCTGGCCGCTCGCCTGGCCGCTCGCCTGGCCGCTCGCCTGGCCGCTCGCCTGGCCGCTTGGCTTTGAGCGCCGGATCTGAAGGCCGGTTGTGAGCGCCGGCTGTGAGCGCTGGCTCCGAGCGCCTGCTCTGAGCGCCGGCTCGCCTGGCCGCTCGCATTGCCGCCCGCCTGCCCGCTCGCATTGCCGCTCGCCTGTCCCCTCGCCTGGCCGCTCGCCTGGCCGCTCGCCTTGCCGCTCAGCTGGCCGTTAGGCTTTGAGCGCCGGCTTTGAGGACTGTACTTGAGCGCAGGCTCTGAGTGCCGGCTCTGAGCACCGGCCCTGAGCGCCGGCTCTGAGCGCCGGCTTTGAGCGCCGGCTCGCCTGGCCGCTCGCCTTGCCGCTCGCCTGGCCGCTCGCCTGGCCGCTCGCCTGGCCGCTCGCCGGGCCGTGCGCCTGGCCGCTCGCCTGGCCGCTCGCGTGGCCGCTCGCCTGGCCACTCGCCTGGCCGCTCGCCTGGCCGCTCGCCTGGCCTCTCGACGGGCTGCTTGCCTGGTCGCTCACCTTGTCGTTCGCCTGGCCGCTCGTCTTTGAGCGCCGGCTCTGAGCGCCGGACTTGTGCGCTGGCTCTGAGCGCCGGCCTGCCTGGCCGCTCCCAATGCCGCTCAGCTGGCCGTTAGGCTTTGAGCGCCAGCTTCGACCACAGGATTTGAGCGCAGGCTCTGAGCGCCGGCTCTGAGCGCCGACTCTGAGCGCCGGCTTTGAGCGCTGGCGCTGAGCGCCGGCTCTAAGCGCCGGCTCGGAGCGCCGGCTCGGAGCGCCGGCTCGCCTGGCCGCTTGCCTGGCCGCTCGACTGGTCGCTCGCCTTGCCGCTCGCCTGACCGCTCCCCTTGATGCACGCCTGGCCGTTAGGCTTTGAGCGCCGGCTTTGAGCACTGGACTTGAGCGCAGGCTCTGAGCACCGGCCCTGAGCGCCGGCTCGCCTGGCCGCTCGCCTTGCCGCTTGCCTGGCCACTCGCTTGGCCGCTCGCATGGCCGCTCACCGGGCCGCTCGCCTGGCCGCTAGCCTGGCCGCTCGCCTGGTCGCTCGCCTGGCAGCTCGCCTGGCCGCTCGCCTGGCCGTTCGCCTGGCTGCTCACCTGGCCGCTTGCCTGGCCGCTCGCCTGGCTGCTTGCCTGGTCGCTCACCTGGTCGTTCGCCTGGCCGCTCGGCTGGCCGCTCGCCTGTCCGCTCGCCTGGCCGCTCGCCTGGCCGCTCGCCTTGCCGCTCAGCGGGCCGTTAGGCTTTGAGCGCCGGCTTTGAGGACTGTACTTAAGCGCAGGCTCTGAGTGCCGGCTCTGAGCACCGGCCCTGAGCGCCGGCTCTGAGCGCCGGCTTTGAGCGCCAGCTCGCCTGGCCGCTCGCCTTGCCGCTCGCCTGGCCGCTCGCCTGGCCGCTCGCCTGGCCGCTCGCCGGGCCGTGAGCCTGGCCGCTCGCCTGGCCGCTCGCCTGGCCGTTCGCCTGGTTGCTCGCCTGGCCGCTCGCCTGGCCGCTCGACTGGCTGCTTGCCTGGTCGCTCACCTGGTCGTTCGCCTGGCCGCTTGTCTTTGAGCGCCGGCTCTGAGCGCCGGCTCTGAGCGCCGGACTTGTGCGCTGGCTCTGAGCGCCGGCCTGCCTGGCCGCTCGCAATGCCGCTCAGCTGGCCGTTAGGCTTTGAGCGCCAGCTTCGACCACAGGATTTGAGCGCAGGCTCTGAGCACCGGCTCTGAGCGCCGGCTCGCCTGGCCGCTCGCATGGCCGCTCGCCTTGCCGCTCCCCTGGACGCACGCCTGGCCGCTCGCGTGGCCGCTAGCCTGGTGTCTCGCCTGGCCGCTAATCTGGCCGCTCGCCTGGGCACTCGTCTGGCCTCTCGCTTGGCCGCTCGCCTGGCCGTTCGCCTGGTCGCTCGCATTGCCCCTCGCCTGGCCGCTCGCCTGGCTGCTCGCCTGGCCGCTCGCCTGGACGTTCGCCTGGCCGCTCGCCTTTCCGTTCGCCTGGCCGCTCGCCTCACCGCTCGGCTGGCCGCTCGCCTGGCCGCACGCCTGGCCACTCGCTTCGCCGCTCGCCTGGCCGCTCGCCTGGCCGCTCGCCTGGCCGCTCGCCTGGGTGTTCGCCTGGCCGCTCGCCTTTCCGTTCGCCTGGCCGCTCGCCTTTCCGTTCGCCTGGCCGCTCGCCTGGCCGCTCGGCTGGCCGCTCGGCTTTGAGCGCCGGCTTTGAGCGCCGGCTCACCTGGCCGCGCGATTTGCCGCTCGCCTGGCCAGTTGGCTTTGAGCGCCGGCTCTGACGGCCGGCGGTGAGCGCCAACTGTGAGCGCCGGCTGTGAGTGCCTGCTCTGAGCGCCGGCTTGCCTGGCCGCTCGCATTGCCGCCCGCCTGACCGCTCGCATTGCCGCTCGCCTGCCCGCTCGTCTGTCCGCTCGCCTGGCAGCTCGCCTGGCCGCTCGCCTTGCCGCTCGGCTGGCCGTTTGGCTTTGGCCGCCGGCTTTGAGCACTGGACTTGAGCGCAAGGTCTGAGCGCCGGCTCTGAACACCGGCCCTGAGTGCCGGCTCTGAGCACCGGCTTTGAGCGCCGGCTCGCCTGGCCGCTCGCCTTGCCGCTTGCCTGGCCACTCGCCTGGCCGCTCGCCTGGCCGCTCGCATGGCCGCTCGCGGGGCCGCTCGCCTGGCCGCTCGCCTGGCCGCTCACCTGGCCGCTCGCCTGGCCGGTCGCCTGGCCGCTCGCCTGGCCGCTTGCCCAACCGCTCGCCTGGCCGCTCGCCTGGCCGCTCGCCTGGCCGCTTGCCTGGTCTTTCACCTGTTCGTTCGCCTGGCCGCTCGTCTTTTAGTGCCGGCTCTGAGCGCCGGATCTGAGCGCTGGCTCTGAGCGCCGGCCCGCCTGGCCGCTCGCATTGCCGCTCGCCTGGCCGCTCGCCTGGCCACTCGCCTGGCCGCTCGCCTGGCCGCTCGCCTGGCCGCTCGCATGGCCGCTCGCCTTGCCACTCGGCCGGCCGTTAGGCTTCGAGCGCCGGCTTTGAGCACCGGATTTGAGCGCCGGCTCTGTGCGCCGGCTCGCCTGGCGCCGGCTCGCCTGGCCGCTCGCCTGGCCGCACGCCTGGTCGCTCGCCTGTACGCTCGCCTGGACGCTCGCCTGGCCGCTCAACTCCCCGCTCGCCTGGCTGCTCACCTGGCCGCTCGGCTTGCCGCTCGTTTTTGAGCGCAGGCTTTGAGCGCCGGCTCTGAGCGGGGGCAATGAGCGCCGGCTCTGAGCGGCGGCTCTGAGCTCCGGGTCTGAGCGCCGGCTCTGAGCGCCGGGTCTCATCGCCTGCTCTTAGCGCCGGCTTTGAGCGCGGGCTCGCCTGGCCGCTCGCCTGGACGCTCGCCTGGACGCTCGCCTGGACGCTCGCCTGGCCGCTTGCCTGGCCGCTCGCCTGGCCGCTCACCTGGCCGCTCGCCTGGTCGCTCGCCTGGCCGTTCGCCTGGCCGCTCGCCGGCTCCGAGCGCCGGCTCTAAGCGCCGGCTTTGAGTGCCTGCTCGCCTGGCCGCGCGCCTTGCCGCTCGCCTGGCCGCTCGCCTGGCCCCTCGTCATCGGGCGCCGGCTTTGAAGGCCGCCTGTGAGCGCCGGCTGTGAGCGCCGGCTTTGTGCGCCTGCTCTGAGCGCCGGCTCGCCTAGCCGCTCATATTGCCGCTCGCCTGGCCGCTCGCGTGTCCGCTCGCCTGGCCGCTCGCCTGGCCGCTCGCCAGGCCGCTCGCCTTGCCGCTCGGCCGGCCGTTAGTCTTTGAGCGCCGGCTTTGAGAACTGGATTTGAGCGCAGGCTCTGAGCGCCGGCTCTGATCGCCGGCTCTGAGCGCCGGCTTTGAGCGCCGGCTCGCCTGTCCGCTCCCCTTGCCGTTCGCCTGGCTGCCCGCCTGAGCACTCGCCTGGCCGCTCGCCTGGGTGCTTGCCTAGCCGCTCGCCTGGACCGATCGCCTCGCCACTCGCCCGGCCGCTCGCCTGGCCCCTCGCCTGGCCGCTCGCCTCATCGTTCGCCTGGTCGCTCGGCTGGCCGCTCGTCTTTGAGCGCCGGCTCTAAGTGCCGGCTCTGAGCGCCGGCTCTGAGCGCCGGACCTGAGCGCCGGCTCTGAGCGCCGGCCCGCCTTGCCACTCGCAATGCCGATAGCCTGGCCACTCGCATGGCCGCTCGCCTGGTTGATCGCCTGGCCGCTCGCCTGGCCGCTCACCTGGCCGCTCGCCTGGTCGCTCGCCTGTACGCTCGCCTGGACGCTCGCCTGGCCGCTCACCTCCCGCTCGCCTGGCTGCTCGCCTGGCCGCTCGGCTGGCCGCTCGTTTTTGAGCGCAGGCTTTGAGCGCCGGCTCTGAGCGGGGGCAATGAGCGCCGGCTCTGAGCGGCGGCTCTGAGCTCCGGGTCTGAGCGCCGGCTTTGAGCGCCGGGTCTCATCGCCTGCTCTTAGCGCCGTATTTGAGCGCCGGCTCGCCTGGCCGTTCGCCTGGCCGCTCGCCGGCTCCGAGCGCCGGCTCTGAGCGCCGGCTTTGAGTGCCGGCTCGCCTGGCCGCGCGCCTTGCCGCTCGCCTGGCCGCTCGCCTGGCCCCTCGTCATCGAGCGCCGGCTTTGAAGGCCGCCTGTGAGCGCCGGCTGTGAGCGCCTGCTCTGCGCCTGCTCTGAGCGCCTGCTCTGAGCGCCTGCTCTGAGCGCCGGCTCCTCTAGCCGCTCATATTGCCGCTCGCCTGGCCGCTCGCGTGGCCGCTCGCCTGGCCGCTCGCCTGGCCGCTCGCCAGGCCGCTCGCCTTGCCGCTCGGCCGGCCGTTAGTCTTTGAGCGCCGGCTTTGAGCACTGGATTTGAGCGCAGGCTCTGAGCGCCGGCTCTGTCAAAGGCCTTAGAAAAATCAAGGAACAGCTGGTCACAAGAAGACTTAGAGTCAAATGCACGCGAAACAATTGAGGTAAGCTGTACCAATTGGTCAACTGTTGACCTCTTTCGACAAAAGCCAAACTGGCTGGAACTGATAATTTTATGGCTCTCAACAAACGAGTAAAACTGACGGCTAATCATAGACTCATACAATTTGGCAACTGCATTTAACAGCGATATAGGACGGTAATTGACTGGGTGAGAAGGATTACCTTTTCCCTTGAACACAGGTACAACAACGGCAGATTTCCACTCCCTGGGCTGAGTACTGGACAGCAAGCAGCGGTTGAAAAGGGCGGAAAGAGACTGTGACGTGACCTCAGCTGTTTCACGGAGGATGCGATTGTTCAGCAGTCCAGCGGTTTTACGTTGAATGGGAAGTCTGGATAGCGTGTCAAATACGGACTGCACAGAGAATGGTTGTATGGAGAACTTCACAGTGGACGTGGGTGTTAAAATACCAGCTGAGTGCAGGTCAGGTGTTAGCAGTGGCGCCTGGCTGTAGCTCGCAAACACTTTGGCTAGGAGATTCGTCTTTTCCGTATTACTCGTGGCTGGGTAGGCTTGGTTGTCATGGTAGAGGTCAGGGATAACCGGAGACGGGCGATTCACATTACAAAGGATCTTTGCTTTGCGCCACCATGTACGGGTTCCATGATGCTGAGCCATGTCTCTCGCCATCCTCTCGTGATAATGGCGTTTCGCCTTCCGGAGCAAGGAAGTAAGACAGTTACGTGAGAGTCTATACGCTATCCAACTATCTGTAGATCCAAGACGTTTGGCCTTGGCGAAGAGGCGATCCCGAAGCCGCCTCTGACGATGGTGAACAGCAGAGTACCAAGGCTTGTTCGATGGAAATGTGCTTCTCCGGACAACGGGAACAAACACCGATACAGAGTCTTCCAGCGCTGTGCGCCACAATGACCAGGCCTCATCAACTGTTTGCGCATTTCAGACGGCATCTAGCAAGGGTAGTTGCCACACGTGGTTGTTAAATGCTTGCCAGTCCGTGTGGGCAAAGTCGAGCCAGGTGTTTTGTGCAGAAGATATTTGGGCTGTGGAGCCTGCTGATCGGTTGTGGACGACATCGAAAACTACAGGACAGTGATCAGATACCGGTGGGAGGATGGTGAGATGGGAGACTGCTATTGGAGCATTAGTGATAACTAGGTCGAGTAGTGATGAACTCTTACCACTTGCGGAGTAGCGGGTAGGCTGTTGATCCACAAGTTGCGATAAGCCCAGATCATCCAGGGTGTCATACATGCATGAACCAGCAGGTGTATCAGGATCGGATGCTAGCCATTTCGAGAGGCGAGCGTTAAAGTCGCCAATGACAAATATGGAAGCTTGAGGACAAGATATTGATTGAATGCAGGTCCGGAGTGCGCTGCAGAACTGATCAGGTGGCTGCCAAGGAGGACGGTAACAACAGAACACTAACGTGGGGTTGGGGCGATGCTCTAGTTCTATGCACACAATTTCAATGGTTGGATCAGCAGGCTGAAGATCTGGACGATGTTTGGTAGTATGGGAAATGGAAGGGTGGAGGAGGAATGCTACTCCACCTCCACGTCGCACGGTATTGTTGTGACGGTCATGCCGGATAATTTTGTATTCAGCTGACGGTGTTATTATTGAACTTGTGATATCAGGAGTCAACCAGGTTTCAGTTATGCCCAAGATATCTAGTTGAGATGTGCAGAAAAAGTTTTTAATCTCATCAGCCCGCTTCAGCCACTGCATGCGTTAACTGTGCAGATCCTGATACTCGACGGAGACTTCATATCAGAAATACAAGGTGAAAAGTTGAAAGTCAAAGGGGACCGTTGGAATGGTGGAGCAAGAGGGTTCAGTGCGGTCACTTGCGATTGTCGGCCGGGAGAGAACGGGGCTGCATTTGGGTTAAGAGTAAAAGCGTGTGGTGATGTGGGAAAAAAGATGGGTGCGTGTGGATTCAACATCACAGTTTATGATTTCTTGGGGAGGGGTGGGTTCTTGAACTTCCATTCTCGTGCTGTTACAT